ACCCCAAACCTGAAGCCACAAAAAGAAAGGATTAATAAACCCAACCACATAAAAATGAGTTCTGTGTAGCAACATATACCAGCAACTAATTTAAAAGCAAACTAGATAAATAAATAAATAAATAAATAAATAAAAGCAATTCATAGAGTAATCAGCCAGGCAGTGTGGAGGAGCAGAAGGCAGAAGTGAAAGGCCCTGGCTTCCCCACTCTCTTCCTGCCAGAGTTTACTTAAGTGTGATGAGGTGCTGCCAGATAGTCTTATGCCAGTGGTGGTGTGTGCCTGAGCGTGTACATGCCAGTTTCTCAAACGTGCAACCCACTGCAGCTGTACATCCCTCTGCACTTTGCTGTTTGCATCACGAGGTCAGAATTCCTTCCATGTCATTATGTTCAAATCTAATGCAGTTATTTTTTTGCCCCATTTCACAGATAAAGAAAATGAAGCCCAGAGACTCTGGCCTGAGAACTTAACTTTGGACTAGCCAGGAAGGTCAAACTGCCCTGAGCAGTGGGTTATTGTTGTGGCGTGGAAAACTTGTTACTTTGCAATTCAGAATGAATTTCTTCTGTGAAGACAGAAGCCAAGAATGTATGGAACCCTTGCAATTTCACTGGTCCCTGAAGAAAGGTCCTTCCCCAGCTTGCCCTGTGCCCCCAAGAGTAGGCAGTTAAGCAAGTGAAGCAGAGAGCAGAACTCAAATGCCACCTCAGCTAAGTAGGCCATTCTTATTCCCCGAAGTCTCCTTGCCTCTTGACCCCAAATCAATTGGAAACCTCTGGTTCTTAATTGTCCGGAGCACTGCAGGCAGTCCGGCCAGCCACCGAGCGGCCCCTGGGGTGCAAGGGCACTTAATTAAATGAGGGAGTTACTGATTAAGCCCGTGTGGTCTCTCCCTCGGGCTTTGCATGCCCAAGTGGGTGGCTGCCAAGGGACCTTGCGGGAGCAGGCCAACAGTACAGAATAAATGTGCTTCACACATCATTAGGCCCTTCAGGGTGGGGCCGGGGTCTACAGGTGGGTGGGTTTGCAGGATTTGGGGCAGTAATCCAGACAGGCAATAAAATGTGGTTGCATTTTTTAAGTTGGAAAGGGTTTTGCTGTCGTATTGGCTAGTGTGTGAGTGTGGTGTGTGTGTATTTTTAGAATTCTTTCCATTTATATAGTGGAACACAGCATGCGTATGCCAAGAGTATATGAAGTGTATGTGCACAGTTTCAAGAATAACCGAAGTACCCAGTACCTGCCCTGAGGTTAACACAGTGTTATGGAGCCCCTTTGTGAGTTCATTTCTTTTTTTTTTTTTAAATATATTTTATTGATTTTTTTTTTACAGAGAGGAAGGAAGAGGGATAGAGAGTTAGAAACATTGATGAGAGAGAAACATCAATCAGCTGCCTCTTGCACACCCCCTACTGGGGATGTGCCCATAACCAAGGTACATGCCCTTGACCAGAATCAAACCTGGGACCCTTGAGTACGCAGGCCGACGCTCTATCCACTGGGCCAAACCAGTTAGGGCTGTGAGCTCATTTCATATTCCTCTCCATCCCTCCACCTGCTGGTCTGAATTTTGTATTAATCATTCTCTTGTTCTTCCTCAATGTATTGTTGAATTTTGCCTATTTAAAAATTTCATATCCTATCTAATAAAAGAGAAACATGGTAATTAGCGTACAACCGCTACCCTTCCCATTGGCTAATCAGGGCGATATGCAAATTAACTGCCAGCCAAGATGGCGGCCCACAGCCAGGCAGCTTGAAGCTAACATGAGACTTGCTTGCTTCAGTGACGGAGGAAACCAACATTCCCCGCCTGCTTTGCTGGCCTCTGAGCTTGCAGTTTAAGAAACATTGTAACAAATATAGAAGCTAAACAAAACCCCAGAAACCAGCTTTCAGCCGGCTGGGATCTCAGAGCTGG